TCATCCCAGAGGGGCCCCTTCGGCTCCCCGGTTTGCTTGCCCTCTGTCGTGAGAAGATCGCCCACCTGTGGGGAGACCACACCAAAGCCGGCTGGTTACAATCTCGATGACTTGTGGCAAGCTCTGTTTCCACATCAGCCACTGCCACCCCCGCATCCCGCTGTCCTCTCTGGACCCGTCACCCCTCCCCAGTGTCCCTCGCACAAGTGCCCCCTCCACTGACGGCACCCGGGCCACCCTGGCCAGAGCCCGCTGACCTCTCCTCTCCACGACGGGCTTGGTCCCCTCTCTGCTGCCATCAAAACCAAGTTCCTTTCTGCCTGCCAGATCTCTCAAGAAGGTGGCTTTTGAAACATCACTCCCCTCCATGGACTCGGGCCTAATGGCGGCTTCTTGAATACGACGCGCCATCTCTGATCACCATGCCTTTGCCCTGGCTGTGCCCCATCCCTCTTCACCTCCACTTCATGGCTTCTGCGGAGACTCAAGGCCCAGCCCTTACAAAGTGGATTTCCTTCTCTGCACTGCCCTGCCCCCAGCACTTAGCCCAGTGCTGGGCACATAGTAGGTGCTGAATAAATGTCTGCTGGTGGATGAAGTCGCCAAGTCCATCAATTCTCATCTTGGAAGGTCTTTCCCACTCAGTCCGTTAAAGTCTATGGTACGGACCCTTTCTCTGAATCACAGTTTTAAATGCACAAAATTAAATGCAGAGGATTACAAAGGAAACTCCTTCTAATGAAGCAGTTAACAACGGAAGTTATGGAGCCCTGGTGAAGAATCCACGTTAGATGGCCCTGAAACACCATCTCTCTTCACAGTAGACTGAGCACCTGAACACCTGTGCTGAAGGCCTAAGTAACCCGGCCACATCACGGCCCCGCCTGCCCTTCACCTCACTTGCACCACCCCTCCAGCTGGAACACTGCTTCCCGGGAAAGCCCCCAGCCCCTCGTGGGCCTTGCCGAGCTGCCCAGGGCTCACGCTGTCCATGGCTTTATTCAGCAAATACTGTGAGGCCCCACAGGAGGACCAGCCACTGTGGTCAATGGTCTGCAGCGGGCATGCATTTTCCCACAGTAACATAGCTACCAGTTGACATGGGGATATCCTGCCGCCACCTCAAATGTGTGTGTGTGTAGCTTGCTGTCTTTCTGTCTAAGCTGGGAACTCCTCTGATCCCCCATCTGTCCGTCTGCCTGTCTGTCTGTCTGTCTGTCTCTCCCTCTCTGGTTCCATCATTCATCAGCCTGATAGGTTCACAGTCTGGGGGTTATATCCTTTCTTAACACATTAATAATTTTTTTTTTGTTGCCCTGACACTTACAAAGACTGAGTGTTTCCACAGACCAAGAACAGTTAAAAAGATGTACGTGAAACTAGACGTCAGTCCCAAAGCTGTCCTGCTTATTTCTGCGAGCTCCCCAAGCCCTGAATCTTTCTGCTCCCACTACCGCCCTCCCTGGCATCCAAGTGAACCTTACAACAGCCGCCTCTCCGAGGTCTTTCTGCCCCCACCGGTCTTGAGTCGGTCTGCCTGGGCCTCTTCTCAGATGTCCTCAGTGACTCCCCCCGCTCCCTGGTGGTCTGCATTCTCCAGCTTTCCAGCCGCATCTTATCTCAGTACCTAGCCCTCTGCACCCCATGCCTATCTCCAACCCTACCCTCACACCCGAGCCAGTCAGCCTACATCACTGAATGCCCACCAGACAGGCAAACATGCACAAAATACCATCTTCTTTCTTTCTCTCGTTTTTAAATTTTATTTTCAGCTCCAAATTCTCTCCCTCCCTTCACCCACCCAACCACTGAGAAAGAAAAAAGTAAATATTCATTACACAGATGAAGTCATACAAATATATTTTCACATCATCCTTTTTTCCTGGAACCCTCCCCTCTGTGGTGGGCACGTATGCGCACATACATACACAGTTTGGTGCAGAAATGCTTTCACTCAACTGGGAAAACAGGAAGGATTTGGGAAAAGGGATGGGGGGGAATAAGAAGGTGGGTGAATACATAAAGAGATGAGTCACAAGCAAAACAAATTCCAACCTGGCAGGTGGATCTCAAAGCAGGATTGAAAGGGGGAAAATGTTTATAAAAATCTATGACTGGCATCTGGGTGGGAGGGAGAGAAGGAGGGCAGGGTTTAGAAACAGATCACCAGTAGTGAGTACCCTCCAATCTGACCACCCTCTTCTTTGTAAAGAGGTGGGCGGGAAGCAAAGAGAAGAAAAATCCTAACAGAATAGGATGGAGAGAAACACAAAATCATTTTCACTGTGACTATAAATGGGAGGAATTCACTCAAGTAATGGAAGAAGAAAGCAGAACAGGTAAGAAAGGGGGATCCCAAAAAGCATTTATTAAGCACCTACTGTGTGCCCAGCACCCGCAGCACAGAAGAAAGGAAAAAGACAGACCCTGAATCTAGCAATGTACCCGGACCGGAAACACATATGGAACAACAGTTTACACAGGGTTAACATCAAGGAGAGAGGAGCATCTGCTATTTTTCAGCAGAAATTAAAAAAAAACCAGGGTAGTGGTCATGATCTCAGAAGCAGAAACCACAAAAAGAGACAAACAGGCAAATGACTGTACACTCAGAGAAGATGAATCAGCACCGATACTCAACACAGGCTCCCCAACGGTGTGACATCCAAGTACTCGAAGGAGAAACCAAACAGGTCACCGGGAGAAAGAGGCAGCGACGCGACACAACACTGATCCAGGACCTCGACGTGCCCCCTTTAGATCTGCACAGATGAGGGAACGCACGTACAGGGCTGTGTAAACCTTCCGGCGCTACATCCGCAGCGTCCAACTCTGTGCGGCCCCATCTGGGCTTGTCTTGGCAAAGATGCCTCTCCAGCTCATTTTACAGAGAGGAAACTGAGGCAAAGAGGGTTCAGTGACTTGCCCAGGGTCACAGAGCTAGTAAATGTCTGAGGCTGGATTTGAACTCAGGAAGGTGAATCTTCCCAACTCCAGGCCTAGTGCTCTATGCACTGTGGCGCCACCTAGCTGTCATACAAATACTAGTTATCATTATTATTATTATTATTATTATTAATACAAATCTAAAAAAATAACAAGAAATAAATTAAGGACTTGAATAGAATTTTAAAAGTTAGATACAATAAATCCTTGGTAATTAATGAATAGAGCTAATTAATTATCAAACAGAAAGAAGCATGCTCAGCCACGCATGGAACCTTTATAAAAATCAACACTATGGGGGCAGCTAGGTGGCGCAGCGGATAGAGCACTGGTCCTGGAGACAGGAGGACCTGAGTTCAGATACAGCCTCAGACACTTGACCCTTACTAGCTGTGTGACCCTGGGCAAGTCACTTAACCCTACTGCCTAGCCCCCCCCCCCAAAAAATCAACACTATGTTAGGGCATAAAAGACTCACAAAAATGCAGAAATATTAAACATATACTTTTCTGATCACAATGCAGTAAAACTAGATTAATCCAAAAGAAGTGGAGATGAAAGAACAAATCACAGTAAAAGATAATTTCATCAGAGGCACCACCCTCACAAATGCAGTGAGCTAACATACCACAATGGTGGCGATATGGCCAAAGTGGGTCTCAGATGAAAATTTTAATCTCTACACATGCTCCTCAACAAAAGAGAGAAAGAAAAGCATGCAAAAAAAAAAAAAAAGAAAAAATAATGAAAACCAATTAAAAACCCACAGACACTGAAACAGAAATTCTGGAAGTCAAACAAGATTAACAAAATCTGAAACCTCATTTCACAAATAATTAAAATGAGAGAATTTTTTTGGAAAGAATCACAAGATAAACCAAAGTGGAAAAACAGATGACCAATAGCAAAATGAAAAAGAATTTGCAATGAATGAAAAAAAGAAACGAATAAGAAGCTATCTTGCTCAGTTACGTGCCAATTAAGCTGACGCCTTAACGGATGCATATTGACAATAACACAAAATACCTAGATTAAAGATCGAGAAATAAGAACTCAGATACCCCAGTCTCAGAAAAGGAGATGAAAAGAGCTACAACTTGAGTCCTCGAGTGAACTGAAACTGTAGAACCGGGGAGGGTTTTTAAGCTGCTCCGGGCTCTATTTCTTTTGCCTGCACCCCCATCTTTCCAGGCTCCCACACTCAGCCACCCTCTGACCTCACCGAGCTCATCTGCTGCTCCCCTCCAACACACCCTCTCCTTTCCATCCCAAGGCCATAGTCTGAGCTCAAGCCCACCTCATCCCCTCTCTCCCGTCCTAGCAGCCTCCTCACCAGTCTCCTGGCCTCTCTGTTCTCCACACACCTGTCAAAGGGCCGTTGCTCAAACCCAGGGGTGACCAGGTCAGTCCCAAGTTAGTCAGTAAACTCCGGCGACTCCCTGTTGGCTCACCAGTCAAACATCCCTTCCTCTGCCTGGCCCTCCCAGCCTGCACCCATCCTACCTGCACACATCCTACCTTTCCCAGCCTGGTCTCCATGAGTGTGAATTACACCTTCCTCAAAGTAGTCACATGTATTTGAAGTCATACCATTCAAAGTTATAATTACGTAAAACGTGGGAACTGGTTCCAGCCCCATGGAAAGCACGTCGGGGGTCGGTCCGTCATTCACACTCATCCGGACCAAGCCAGCCGTTCCTCTTCTTCCACGGCTAGTCCTCCCACCAGACTCTCCATCCGCCTGTGCTCGCCTTTCCACGGGCGTCTGCCACCCGGGCTAGGAATGCATTCTCTCCCTGGTCTCCTCTGAGACTCCGCTCAAGGGTTCCCTCCAACACGAGGTCTTTTCTGTTCCCAGCCGGCCCCTGAAAACCGTGTTTATTGCAGGTCAATTTGGCACAGGCTCGTACATCTCTGTTTTCTCTCCTGACAGACTGTAAGCTCCTCGGGGGCAGGGGCGGCGACACTTTGGTTTTTTCGTCTCCTGTGCACGACACAGTGCTCAGTACACAGTGGGGCCTCAGTAAGCGCCTACGGACCGAGACACAGCAAACCTAGCGGAAGAGCCATGAGACCAGGCTTTCTGGCGACGGCTCGACCCCAGACCCAAGCGCACTTCGGCAGGCTGGGTCTTGGCAAGCTAGGTAAGAGCTCGCTGATGAGAGGCACAAACACGGCTCCACTATGGGCTACGGGCTTTTAAAGGTTCAGGAAGGCACCATTCCTTCTCCGTAGCCTCACACACAACAGGCTCCGGCACACGCAGAACTTGAGCCGACACGACGCCACCATGGACGCGGCTGGACGTCCCCGGTCGGGGGACGTTGCAGGATCCCGGATCTGACACGGAAAGGGAGCTCAGAGACAGCCCTCCTCTTACATGTGAGGAAAGGGAGGGAGGTCCAGGGACAGCAGGACACGTGACCGAGGTCACTCAGCTCCCCCAGCACCGCTGACCCCGTTCTTTACGTGTCCCGCGCAAATGAAGAGGAATGCCTTCTGGTCCAGGACACTGGACCCATAGCTCTCTTTGGTCCAGCAGGAGTGATGAGCTCCCTTCCCCAACCTCCTGGAGTTCTGCAGGAGCAGGAGGCCGCTTGCGCTAACTGTGTTTTACACTGTGAAAAAGAACTGCAGCCCGGGGTCACTTTTCAATGCGCATCAGCGGCCAAGGAAGCTTCCAGGACAATGTGTGGCCTCAGGCTGGGCGCGTCAAATCCAGGCAAACAACAGGGGTGTGGCCCTCGAGAAGCTTCCAGTCTAACGTCAGGGGAGAGACCAGCACGGAGGTGACAGAGACAAGGGGCGATGAGTGAGCGTGAAGGGGAGACTCAGGAAAAGTGCTGGGGAGGCGGAGGAGGGGGGAGGGGGAAGGGAAGCCTCCGAGGAGGCGGCCTTACCTTGGGTCTTTTGCCGCCGGGTGGATCAGGACTTTGGAGGCGCTCGCCGCTGCTCTCACGAGGGGCTGGAGGGAGGGGTCTCTTTTTGGAGCCAGCTGGACCTCTGTGGGGTATGCCGGAAGGAGATGGCGGTTTCCTCCTACGGGAGCCCGCTTTCCTGGTAAGCATTCTGGGCTCCCTCTTGGCAACAGCGCGAGTCTCCGTCCCCCGCTGGCGGGCTTTCTGTGCGTTGGAGAACATCTGGCAGGTGAGGAGGGAGATGTCGCCGCTCCCCACTCCAGCGCAGGATGCCTTCAGGCGCTCAATGGTCTTCATGACTTTCATGACGTGGGCCATTTTCCCCAGGTCTCTCTGGGACGTCAAAGTCAGGTTCTTCAACAACCCAGCAAACTGGTCATAATTGTGTTCGAGTTCAGAAAGGGTGGTGCCGTAATTCACCGACACGGTGTAAGGCACGAGGTCCGTGTAGGTGGCGATAGGCGGGGTGGCCTGTTCGAGGAGTGTCCTGACTTCAGAGAGCTCTGCCAGTTCTCTGGACAGCAGCTGCAGGGCGTAGGAGGAGTTGGCCCCTTTGGGGTACTCGCAGATGACAGTGACAACCCCTTTCAGTTCCATAATGGCGGCCTCCACCGCATTCCACAGGCCGGACGTCCCTTTCTCTTTGAGAAATGAAGAGGAAGCTGCTATTTTCCCTTGGTTTTCTATCAGCTCAGGAAGGAGAGACAAATCGAACCACAGCATACCCCGAAACCTTGGTTCGTCCAGCCTCCTGGCCATGACATTTTTCAGGAAGTGAATGGTTTCGGCGAGCATGACGACTTCGACGTACATCTCGACAGCTTCAGGCTTCAGGACGACCACTGGATGGCTGCGCGTCCTGGCCATGTCCAGCACGTTGTCTTCTGTGATCAGGACGCTGTCCGCGGCGGCCTCCTGCAGAATCTGGAAGCATTTCTTTAAGGTCTCCAGGTGGTCTCTGCATCTCCCAGTAAGCTCCTCTAACTGTCTCAGGTCAGCAGATTCTGCTTGTTCTAATATCTCTCCAACGCTGCAAACATCTGGGAGAGAGAAGAGAGGATCACTAAACCTGCAGTTTCCCCTGCCAAGCCCCTCTCCCGTTAAGCAGTCACAGCGCTTACCGGGAGCATTTCCAACAGTTTCCTCCAGCCAACCCTTGCAAGCACGTTCTGCTTTCCCGTCGGCCTCCAGAGTCTCATAGATCTGCTGAAGCTTCTTAAAGGAGCACTGGTTAAATACGAGGAGTTCTTCCTCCACCTTCTTGGGGGAGTCACTTCTGCCAATCGACAGGCCCCTCTCTTTCCAAACGAGACTTTTAGCAGCATCGAAAAAGACGTGTTCCAGGCCATAGAGAGAGATCTTCATGCTAATGGATTCTGAATATTTTATAAAATGCATCCTGGAGGAGTTCATTTCCACGATGATCCAGAGACAGTCTTGTTTCCCAGGACAAGACTGAATATTAGGGAAATGGTCCTGGTTACCGATCGGTTCCAAAGTTCTCATTCTCAACGTTTCTAAGTCATCTAAATTATCTCTGAAATTAACCCCACAGGTGAATGGCGCGGAAAGAGTGAACTCCAAGCGACTGGAGCAACGCTCCAGCATATCTTCACACTCCTCAATCTGCCATCTGTATTTCAGGACGGCATAGTAGGGCTTGTTCTCCTTCTTGGCTTCCTCCAACAGTCGGATGAGCTGCCTGTGGGAGTGCTGCAGCTCGCCGAAGGCGTCGTACTCGAGCCTATCCTGGAAGGCCGGGCAGAGCCAGGCCTGCTGCTGGTAGCCTGGGTTCCCGCGCAGCAGCTCGCCGTCGTACCGGGGCAAGCCGCGGACTGCGGGCTCGCCGTCCGGTGGACCTTTCTCGTTCTCCACCAAGCGCACGGTTTCCATCATCGTCTGCAGCTCCACTGGGGAATCCACGGCTTGCAGGCGGAGGCAGTGCTTACGGCTCTTCCACCCGTGACCTTCCACCAGCGGGTTCTGGGAAACCAGCACGTGCGGGAAGGAGCGTTTCTGTTTTCTTTCAGAAGATTCAATGAACAAAGGAAGGACGGTCTGGCACGTTTCGATTAGTCCCTGTAAACTCTTTGGCGTGGAGGCCTCGCCTGCCTTTTGCAGAATTCTCGACAGCTTCTCAGTGAGCGTTGTAGGGTCCTCTGAGGATTGGTCCTCCTCCACTTCACTCGTGGGAGGGGGCTGCTGAGCAGCGTCGGCGTCAGGGATGCCTGGGTGCGTCCGCATGGCACACGTCTGGGGGACTCCCTTCCTCCTGGGGGCAGTGAGAGGTGCGGCAGGGGAGGGAGTTGGCTCATCGTCCACTTCCATTCTGCCTTCCTCCTCCTCCTCCTTCTCGGTCCCGGCCAATTGACTGGGAGTCTCTTCAGTAAAAGGGACAGTCACCGCCGAAGAACCGTCTGAGGCCCGGCCCTGTTCGTCTCGCCCTTCGGTCTGAATAGGAGATTTCTCAGAAGGTTCTTCTGCCGGCTTTTCTGACCGCGGGTCCCTTTCCACTGGTTTTGCCCATCTTTTTTCATCTTTTCCCTTTACTATGGATTTCTGTGATGAGGAACGCCTGGCGTTCTCCAAAGAAGTGTTCAAAAGGAGAGCCCCAGCAGCGCTTTTCTCACCACTTTTGTTTTTCTCCAGTGGTGCAGGCCCCACCAGGGCACTTTGAGAACCACTTCCTTCCTTCCTATCCCCTCCTCGAGGGGAGTTTTTGCAGGGCCCCCAAAGCGCAGCTACAGCATCCTCTCCAACATTTTGAAGCTGGGGCTGCTCGTGCTGCAGAGGTGGAGCGTGGCTTGCCAGGCTACCAATAATCGGCAGTCCCTCGGCCAGCTTCTTGGAGTGGGGGGGTCGCCATTCAGCCTCATTATCTTTAACAGAGATGCAGGAAAAATTCCGAAGCACACTCTCTCCCTCTTGTCTTGTCCGGGGAGCTACACCACCTGAACCCCTAACTAAGCGTTCTGAAGAAGCGCTTGGTTCTGAGCTTACTGCGGGTGACTTTTCTTCCAGTCTGGGGGGATTTTGAGGCAACTTCAGATCTGTTTCAGAGATGTCAACATTGAAAAAGTGTTCTGTGCTTGATTTCAAGACAGAAATGAAGATGTCCGAATTCACTCTGGAGTGAATCTCCCCAACACCTTCTACGTTTGGTTTACTGGTATTGAGGGGAAGGCGCTTTTCCCCAGGGCTGCTGAAGAACTTCCCGTCACTTTCCATTCTAGACGGGGCAGAACGGGCCGCTGAGGGAGCCTCCCTGGAGCCCACAGCACTTGTTTCTTCGGTGTGAATGCTGGACAAGAAGATGAAGTCCAACCTCCTTTCCCCGTCAGAGTGACGCGAAGGGAAAGCTGTCGAGTGTCCATCAGGGACCGTGTGGTCAGCCCTTCTTGGATCTCTCGATGCCGAGTTCCAAGACTCAGAGTGACTCGGCCTGTCGGGACGGGCGCTCCCATGACCGACAGAGGCCTCACCGGACGGCCCTTCTATGGAGAGTGGCCGCCAGACCCCCTGGTCCCTGCTGCCGCCGCTGCTGGTGCACACCTGCTGGTGAGAGGCAGGCGCCCAAGACCGAACCACTTCCAGCCCCAAAGCTCTCTTCTCTTCCCGTTTCTCATCTTTCCTCTTCTGCCAGCAATGCCTTAAGTCATGCCTCCTTTCTGTCAGAAAACTGTAGCCTTCCAGGTCACAGCACTCCCATAAACTGTTGCGGACGACCTCGTAGGACTTGGGCAAGGGGCTGCTCCTCCTTTCCTCCCCCACCTTGGTGACGAGCTGCAGGGACCGGTGCACCCTCCTGTGGGCTTTCTTTAAATGAAGAAGAGCCCGGTCCAGCTTTCTGGACAGACGTCTGCTCTTGCACAAGGCAGCTTCGCCGCAAAGGGTGTTCAGAACATATCTGATGTGCCTCTCTGACTGCGAAAAGGTCCTGATCCGTCCCTCGGACAAAGAGGAGAACTGTTTGGACGGCTGGTAGCGGGCCATCCTTCTGCGTATTTCACCCGCTTCCGGATACCCGAAGGCTCTGCTGGGCACGGTTGTGTCCTTTATGGTGGCGGGCAGCTTCCCTTTGCCACTTCGGGGTTCCGCCTCTTTCACCCTTGGAACTCTGTGACAGGCATCCCTGGGCTTTGCCACCAGGCCGGTACTTTTATCCTCTGTGGCCCGGGAAGCAGCGGCAGGTCGAGGGGACGATGCCAGGGGGTGCCTGACGGCCTTGTGAGCCAATGAGTCAGGAGGTGGGGAGATGACCAAATTCCCCATCACTTCTGGTGCCTCTGGCCATGCCTTCAGACCGAGCTCATCTTGCCCAGGGGGGTCGGTGTTTTCACAGGTCAACAGGGAAGGACTGGCCAGGGGCTCCAATTCTTGCCCCGCCTCACTCATTTCTGCCTCCGTGATCTCTGGTGCGGCACACATCGGCACCTCCTCTGGCATCGCTAGCGGCTCCTGAGAAAGGGCGAATCCCGACTGGATGACATTTTTAATTTGAATTTGTAAGTTGGGAACCACCACAGGATTTAAGAGCTCCTCGTGGTTTTTCTGGGTACAAGAATAAACACGACTGCTTTCCCAAAGGAAACACCGGCTCCCCTCCTCTGGTGGCGACCGGCTTTTGGAGCCCTCCGAGGGCTCGCCGCTGCAGCCTCCAAAGAGATTCTCCCAGTCTATGCGAGATTCCAGGAGCTGGTACACAGAGCTCGTGTCATCTGCAGACGGAGGTCCAGGGAGCGCTGGGTCTCGCTGGAGGAAAGAGTCTTCACACTGTTCAAATTCCATTTCGATCTCGTCGTCAAAGTTCAGGTCTTGAGGAAATAGGAGCTGCGGGTTCTCACCAACGTCGGGCTGTTCCCAGGCTTCACTGCGTTTGCTGGAGTCTGGGTCAAACACATTTCTCGCCCATGCTCCAAAATCGCGGCTCCGGACAGCTCGTGCTCTTCCTAGGGATCTCCCTTGGCTGTCTCGGTACTCGGTACCAAACCCCGGCCTCAGAACAGCAGGGGTGGGCATGCTGGTCCCAAAGTCTCTGTGCACATGGGCTGCGTGGGACCCTGCGGCCTCGGCCAACGCAGCTGGGGAAGCCGGTGGTATCGGCTTCCTTTCGCCGCTGAGAAGGGTCCCCCCTTGATTCCTGGGGTTGACTCTGTTTGCATTTTCGACCAAGGCAGTTTCTATAGACACATAGCTTTTTTTCCAGGCTACGTTAAATGTGGAAGAGAACTTTTCAGAATACATTACTGCTGACCTGCCCGAATTCTTAATCTCTCTCTCATCACTGACAATAGTGGTGCAGTTTTTGTTCATATAAACAACTTGCTTCTCATCTACATAAATATTTTCCATTCTATTTTTTTCTACAAAAGGACTTTGTCTTCCCTCTCTTTTAGGATGTGGGTCATCACTTTCTTCACTCCTAAATTCTTGTTCTCGAAAATAAACATTCAGATCAGGAAAAGCGGTATCATCATCCCCAAACACTGGGTCACAGAACACAGGGCAATCTTGACTCCTGTCTACCTCTTCAACAAGACCGGCATTCAGTCCGCCATCTTTATGTGGGCCAGCTGGGGAAATGGGCTCATTTTCATTTTCCCCATGGACAGCCGGGTATTTCCCGTTCCCATCTCTGACCACCTTGAAATGGGGCACTTTAGTGTCAAGTGATAAACTGGTCAAATCATGAGGCTTTCCTTTGGTCTCCACAGCGATGTCCATTTCCTGGGAAGCATCGGCCTTCGTACCAACGGGCATCAGACACAGACTTCTCGTTTTCAATTCTGTTACTTTTGGAGATTTGGAAAAATATTTGTCAGTGTACATCCTTTCACATTTCAACCACTCTTCCAGGTAATTTTTTGAAGACTTCTGTGCACTTACAGGAGGGTAACTGTTTTCTGATTGACAAGGTATGTGTGTGGGGCTTGACTTCCCTTCCTGCCCTGGAGGCGATGGGGAAGGCTGCCCCGGAACATCTGACCCCTGGCTCCAAGGCTGTTTACCATCATCGCTGTCTTGGTGGGATAAAATCAAAGGCGCGTGCTTTTCATGGGAAAGATGGAACTCTCTTAAGGTACTCCTCCCTTCTCCACGAGCAGAGTCATGACTATCTTTTTTCTTGGAGTATTTATTTTCTCCTTGTTTGGAATGGTTTTCTGGGTCAGTGTCCAGGTTTTTCATACGTTGAGTGTCCTGAATGGATTTATTTCTGGTTTCCTGCTGAGCCTGGAGAGGTTCTGGAGGAGAGGGTGGTTGAAGTCTTTCACGTACAGTTCTGAAGTCGGCAGGCACTAATTTCCAGGGTATGAGGTTACTAAGCCTCTCTGAACTGGTATCCACTGACGTGCCCTTTCCAGGAAAGTGATTCTTCTCCGAGATGGACTTTCCCCTGGCTTGTTTCTTAACTGGCAGAAGGATCCTGTTCACCTGGCTTGAGCTACGCATGCCTGCATCACTATGCTCCTGGTTCTCACGTTCTGGAGCGACTTCCTTGGAAGCATCGGCCATGGTTACCTCGGGGATAGCTGCATAGCCACAGTTCTGATAGAACAAGCCCTCGGGACCAGGGGAGCCCTGACTGAGCACCATGGGCTCACCAGGCACGGCTCCGGAGGGCAGGGATGATGAAGGATTCACTTGTGAACCAGGGCGTTCTTCCCTGCTCTCCAAGGGCACAGTGTCTCCGGAGTCTGTCTCGAGGTTTCCCTGGTCATGGGATCCTCCTCTTCGCAGCAGCCGGGGGTCCTTGATGAGCTTGGAGGTGGTCACGGTACTGGTACCAGTGTTGTTAGGAAGGCCGGCTGCAGCAGAAAGGATGGTGAGGAATTTTTCGAGGTAATTAAAGTTTATCAATAGGTCGCCATTCACACTCGGAGTGGCATCCACACTGGGTGGGAGGGGCGGGTTGGCCTCAGGGGCTGGCACTTGAGACAGGTTGTGGCTTTCTGCTAAATTAGGCTCGGCCTGGCCATCTGTGGTGCCTTCAGCAAAGAAGCCGTTGTTCTGTACGCCTCCACAGGGAGCCAGTCTTTCGGGGGCCAAAGGGTTCATCTCTGCAGTACAGGAGCAGCTGTCCTGGGTGGAGGCCTCCACAGGCTTCGGGAAATGTTCATAGATGACCGTGGCATCCTTTCCCTTCCCGATTCTTTTGGCAATGGTACAGTTATTCAGGGATCCCCTTTTATCTGTTGAGAATTAAAAAGAAAAAAAGAACATGTGGATGAAAATTGTCTCCCTATAATTGATGGGCATAAACTCAGGTGAAAATCTAAGAACCAGAGGAAGGTCTGAAGGCTGCAAAGGATGCAGGAGGTCATCTATTCCAAGCACTCGCTATCGGAGATGAGGTGATGACAGCGTCTTTCATCTGACAATGTCTCATTCAACCCTTGCTGTACAAAGCTCTCAGCCCAGGGCATTTTCACCGGCTGTCTCCCCAAGCCTAGAATCCGCTCGCTCCCCATCTCCAGCTCTTAGCTCCCCCTAGCCACCTTGAAGACTCATTTCAAATGCCTCCTTCCGCTGAAAGGGGCCTGTGGAGCTGCCTGGAGTTCTGGGCTACCACCAAGGGTTTTTAAATTAGAAGAGTGAGCATCGATCCCATCTATCTGCATGCTTGGCACTCTCATTAAAGGGACAGTGAGTGAGCCCCAGAGATTCCAAAGAGTTAACCTGGCCTCGAAGCAGCCAGGCGGCTCAGGTAGACCCGAGTTCAGATCCGGCTGAGTGAGCCTGGGCAAGTCACCCAACCTCCGTCAGCCTTCATCCACTGGAGAAGGAACGGCTAATCACTCGGTGTCTCTGCCAAAAACACCCCGGACCGGGTCATGGAGAGTGGGTCACACGCCTGAACACCCCCTCCCGGCCTCAGCTAGAACAGGTCGCACCGGGCCGACCCCAGGTTCCTACACTGAAGAGCGTCCAAAGCCCTGTGTTACCGATGCTGGAATCAGAGATGATTCAAAGCTAAAGGGATGACGGCTAGGCTCAGAGCAGGTGGAAATGGTTCTAGTCTCGGGATCTGTGCGTGGCCTTGGGTTACGAGCATTTGGACCAGTGACTTCCACAAAGGCACAGACAGTATGGTCACCAAACCTGCAGGCGACACGGAGCAGGAAGGGACAGCTACCCGCTAGAGGGCAGACTCAACACGCAGAGAGCTCTTGACAGGCTAGAACAGTGGGCTGAAACGCTGAAGGTGAAATTCAACAGGGACAGGTGTAAAGTCTTATGTTTAGGTACCAAAAAAAAAATCAATTTCAAGTCTTAAATGGAAGGAGGCATAATTAGACGACAGTTGTTCAGAAAAGGATCTGGGGCTCTTGGGAGACTGCAAGCTCAGCAGGAGTTGGCAGCGTGGTGGCCAAGAAAGGCTGTTCCACCATCCTCTGCCCCATGAGACTCCCTGCAGAGTCCTGGGCCTGTCCTGGGCACCCCAGTTTGAGGAGGACGCTGACACACTGGGGAGGTTCCTGAAAAAAGGATCCGGAAGGCCCCTGGAGTCCAGAGTCCAAAGCAGAGGAGGTGCAGCCGAAGGAACAGGGCGGACCCGGGAGCTGAAGGGCCATCGTGTGGATGAAGGACTCCTTTGCTCTGCTGTTCCCCTGCCTGCCCCCACGAGAGCAGGCAGGCTCCTCCCATCCTGGGCGTCGTCCAGCCCCGCCTATCAGCTCTGTTCTATTGGGGATTCCGGGTGGGGTTGGCTGGATGAGGCCTGAGGAGGCCTCCCTCTACTCTCAAATTCTGTGCCTCTGGGGGTAGCACTCAGTAAGAGGCAGCCCATCACACCCCCAACCCAAGGTCTACAAGCTCCTCGAGGAATCAGTCAGTCAATCAACAAACACCTGTTAAGGTGCATCTGATCTGCACCACGCACTACAGATGTGATGACAAAAATGAAACAGGCCCAGCCCTCAAGGGACAATTTGTATGTAAATGAGGAAACGAAAAAGACAGAATTACAAAGTAATTATTTGGGGAGAAAGGGCATTCTGGTTGGGGAATTAGAGAAGCCCTTGTGTAGGAAGCAGGGCTTAAAACTAAGCCTCCAAGGGAGCTAGGGACTCCAAAAGGAAGAGGTGAAGAGGGAGAGCACGTCAGGCAGGGGGCACAGCTCAGGCAAAAGCACGGAGGTGGGAACATCCACAATGGAGCCTCTCTATTTGAACTCTAGCAGGCCAGGTATTCATCCCTCTGCCACATGGTAAATAAAGACCACCCTGGGGGAAAAACACCTGTTCTGGAGGCGGCAACCATGGCCACCCTCCCAGAGGCCACCCAAAGGTCCTCCACAAAGAGAGGACACAGAGAAAAGCGCCAAGACCACGTGATCAACGCCCCGTAAACGGCGGCTATCTCCTCCCTGCCGCGTCTTCACGGGACGGTCTCTCCCAGGGGTGGGGAACCTGCGGCCTCGAGGTCCGCGGGTACAGCCTCGTGACGGAGTTCAAGTTGTACGGGACACCTCCTTTTATGAAGGGGATTTGTCGTGTGAGACTTGGATTCGGTCAAAGGGCTGCACTCGAGGACCTAGAGGGCCGCACGTGGCCTCGAGGCCACAGGGCCCCCCCTCCTGGACTCTCTCCTGACTTCTCAGGCGGCCCTTGGGAAGGTTCCAGAAGGCAAGAGGCAGGCTTGAGCATGCCCACTAAGAGGCTGAGGCCAGGCTGGAGGCGGCTCCAACCTTGGGAATGGGCACAGGCCACCGCTGACTTCCAAAAGTGAGGGAGGAAACACCAACTATATAGGCCGGGCCCCAGAGTGCATCGTGGGAATATCCCCCACCCCAGACCCGAAAGTCAAACGTTTGACCAGCACACCCAGGAGGTCCCACGGCTTTCTGTATTTTGCTTATTTTTAAATAGAATCTGACCCGGGCACATCGCCACCCTCAAGCTCCTGCCTCAGACAAGGCGTGACGACGTTCTGTGACTCAGTCTCCCAAAGCCAACGGAGAGAGGAAAAGTGCTTACCGGGCCACTTGGGAAACCCCGCGGAGAGAAAGCGCAGGGATGTGATGGTGGGCCCGCTTTCTGCTTTCTGGCCGAGGAATCTGACGGTCACGGTGGCGTACGGAAGGCACTGCCGGGGCTTGTCCACGGGCTTCGAAAGCGTGTTGTACTCGTAGAGATAAACCTGCAGGAGACGGGGCAGAGAAAAGTGAAGGCTGACGAAGAGCCGCGCGTCCCCTCCTCCCGCCGGCCAAGATCTACAGCCAGTACGAGCTGCCCAGAGCGGCCGTAAGGTCTGCAGAACCCCCACAACGAGCTGAGGGAGTGCTATCATCACCCCCTCTTCCAGGTGAGGAAACTGAGGGAGAACAATGTGCCCAGAGCCACACAGCCAGTCAGTGCCTGGGCTAAGATCTGAACTCAGATCTCCCAGATGCCAGGCCACCACTCTATTCCCCACTGAACCAACCATCTTCCCTGTATCTGTGCAAACCCTCAAGATGCCTCCCCAGCCCCCGACTTAAAATTGCTGCTTGCCTGACCCCTTCCCCACACGCCAGGCTCCTTATCAGGTCCTGGTGTCTTTGATGAGTCCCCAGGCAGGGGGAGGAAACGGGGGCTGCCTCGTCTCTGTCTCCCTGATGGTGGCAGCGGCGACAGCAGCAGCAGCAGCGGCGGGTGATGAAGGGCCGCATTGGAGAGAGCCCCTTTCCAGCATCTCCCTCTGCCTGCCCCTGGTTGCCTAGGAAACTAGCTGCCGACAGCCCGCTCCGGCTCAGGCTCCTCGCCTGGCCCCACCATCACGTAGGGGAGATGCCCTGAGGCACTGGGGCGGAGGCAGCCTCTCTCATCTCTGACACCTGCTGAGGCCCGAGACCCACCACTGACATTGCCTGCAGAAGCCAGTGTTTGAAGACACAGACTCTGCAAAAGCTGGGGCGGGGGCGGGTCCTGGAGAGAGGAGAGGAAAGGAGGGAGGGAGGGAAGGAGGGAGAGAAGGAAGGAGAAGGAGGAAGGAAGAAAGAAAGGAAGGAAAGAAAGAAGGGAAGGAATAAGGGAGGAAAGGGAGGGAAGGAAAGAAAGGAGGGAAGGAAAAAGGAAAGAGAGGAAAGGAGGGAGACAGGGAAGGAAAAAGGAAGGAAAGGAAGGAGGAAAGAAGGAAGGAAAAGAAGGGAGAGAGGGAAGGAAAAAGAGGGAGGAAGGAAGAAAGGAAGGAAGAGAAGAAGGGAAGGAAGAAGGCAGGAAAGAAAGGAGGGAAGAAGGGAGGGAGGAAGGAAGAAAGGAAGGAAAAAAGGGATGACAGGAGGAAGGAAAATGAGCAAGGAAAGAAGGAAAGGAGGAAAGAAGAGAGGGAGGAAGAAAGCAGCATGGTACCCACTCCATGGCAAGCGCTGCGCCAACTTCTTTCCCAACATCATCTCACCGGATCCTCACGTAACCCCCGGAGACCCTCGGAGGCAGGCACTGGTCTGTGCTGCTCCCTATCCTCATTCCTCATTCTGTCAGGGGCCAGTGAAGGCGTGGGGCAGGGGGAAAGGGGAGGGCGCTTTTGCCCGGGGGGCTCCACCACAGCTGCCCCCCCAGCCAGTCTATTCAGGTCCTCACCAGGCCGTACTCAGTTCTCTAGGTCTGGGGCACGGCCCCTAGTCTGGGAGCACAGCCAGTGCTGCCCGTCAAGGCCTTTTCCCTCAAAACAATGGCCTTTGATATCTAGGGCAGGCTATGATAACTGGGAAGGTCATTAAAAATAAACTGCCTCTCCGGCCTCCACGATGCCCTCTCCATACAGACGGCTTCCGCTTGGACCTCCACGCGGCACGACGTTAGAAGACCCTTACACGTTTCACGGCATCCCCCCACAGACCAGTCCGGGTGAGCTCCTCAGCTGCATGCCAGGCTAACCGACTGCCCACCGATCCTCTGTATCGATTCCAGGCACCTGGCAAGCCTGCCGCTTCCCCAGCCCCAGCGGGGACCGACCCAGAGAAGGCTGAGGGTCCCCCTGTGGTCCTGCCTGCTCTGTTCCGTTCTCTGAGAAGACTGCCGTGTTTGCTGATCGCCACCAGACCGGCTGGCAGTCCCGTGACGGAGCAGGCTGCCCTCGGGGCCAGCCACAGAACAAGACAGCGTTCCACAGTCCGGTGTGGGCATCCGCTTCACCTGATCACGTCTGTCTGCTTCAAGGGGGGTGGGTGATGGAAGGGGGAGGGCCATTGAGAGGGGTGCTAGAAGGAGGAAAGCGGGTCATGAAAGCACCTCTCTTTTTAACGCAGAGGAGGGACGCAAGGGCAGAAGGAATCTGGAAAAGTGGACGGCTCGTTCCGTCCTTAAGAGGACGAGCCAGGCCGGACTGAGAAGAGACGCGCGGCCTCGAGGACAATCAGTGTTTTTGCTCCGTGGACCTTTTATACCGACACACTCATTTTACTGGGCATTTGTCACAGCCTGAATAAAACTTTTTACAAAATCTCTGTTTCATTCCATATTAATTGGCACTTACAATTTTTGTAAATAATCCTGTTTCTTTTTAACTCTTGGTTTTGCTGGCTAATTAAAAGAGACAGAAGATTATTTATGGTGGTTTTGCTGGCTAACGGGTCAACGAGGCGGCACAGTGGGTAGAGTTCTGGGCCTGGAGTCAGGAGGACCTGAGTTCAAATCCAGCCTCAGACACTTACTGGCTGTGTGACCCTGGGCAAGTCACTTCACCCTGTTTGCCTCAGTTTCGTCATCTGTAAAATGAGCTGGAGAAGGAAATGGCCAACCCCTCCAGGACCTCTGCCAACAAAACCCCAAATGGGGTCACGGGCAGTCAGACACGACTGAACACTCGCGTGATTGCTGGCTAACAAGAACAGTAACTTGCACTTCTATAAGGCTTTCGAGGTGTGCCAATCACTTTGCAGATATGGTCCCGCTTGACCCTCACAAGAGTCCCAGGGTGGGAGTCACGGTTATGCCCAAGGAGGGCCTCGAAGATGAGAGGCGAGGTGACGAGGACTTGAACCCAGGCCTCTTCTGACTCCACGTCCAGCGCTGGAGAGCGCGCGGGTCCTCACCATGCCTCCGACGCCTCCTCTGCGGCGATGCTGCCTGCTGCACTCCCTGTCTTGGCCCTGTGATTTCTGCCCTGTTCTAGGGGACCAGATGAGCTACATGCTCAGCATTGGCGGTCTTCGAGATGCATCCAGGCGGTTTTCTTCTGATTTCCCTGAACGTTAGCTCCTTTCGGGCTGACGGGCTGATTTCCAGTCGTTGGACTCCACAGTAAGAGGCGTCAGTGCACGTGCGCAGAGAAGGAGGCGGCGGCTGCGGCCCAGAAGCCCGGGGACCTCGCCTCAGCCCTCGTTTTCTCTCTCGCACCCCACCCATCATTCCTTCTCTGATCCCCAGCACTCGGGGCCCTGGGGAGGCCCCGGGGAGGCTGCTCCCCGCATCTGTTACCGGGGTTGGACAGGTCCGACATTTGGCTTCCGAACACGTGCTTGTGATTTCCCAGCACCTGACGGGGTGAAGGCCGCCTGACGCTGGCGTTTCCCGCACAATCGTCATGCGGCCTCCGAAGTGGTTTCCTTCTTTCCAATCCTCCACTTTTCCAGTTTCTGTCCATGGTTGCTCGTTCCACCCGTGGGGGCCCAAAGCACAAACGTAATTCTTCTTCTACGGCTGAGAAAACAGAAAGGAGGAAAAAAGTCTTCTCTTGTCCTGGCTCCTTCAAATGATTCCCGTACGGAGTACTCTAGAGGCCCCAGCGCTGGCCTTGGCGTCAGGACGTCTCGAATTCAAATCCAGCCTCAGACACTCATCAGAGGCGTAACGCTGGGCGAACTCCAAACTGTGCCTCAGTTTCCTCCACTGTACACGAGGGTTGTCGTGGGCATCAGACGAGAAGATATTTGTATAACGTGGGGCAAACTTACAGGCACTGGATCCCTGAGGTGTGAACTACCATCACGCCTGACAGTGGTGGTACCATGGTGACTAACAAGGTGGTGTGGCTGTGGACGCAGCCCCAGACCCTGACGGGCACGGAAAGGAAAGGAAAAGAAGGGGCAGCTAGGTGGCGCAGTGGATAGAGCACCGGCCCTGAAGTCAGGAGGACCTGAGTTCAAATCCAGCCTCAGACCAAACACTTGACACTTAGTAGCTGTGTGACCCTGGGCAAGTCACTCAACCCCAATTGCCTAAAAATAAAAAAAGGAAAAGAAAAGGGGCACGTACGGCAGAGCCAGTGGCCTGCTGCTCGATGGGGTCTTTGGGCGTCGGGACAACTCGCGACATGTGGCAGTCAAAATTGGGTGAAGGGTCCAGACACGTTTTACTCTTGTCCACCACGGGCTGTATCTTCTTCACCTTTCCATAGATAACCTGAGGGAGGAAGGGAGGTGGAGAGCATTAAATGGCGATGTCCAAGGAAAGGGCGAGAAACGCTCCGTGCCCAGGCGTGGCGGAGGGACAGAGGAGGGCTGACGGTGATAACCTCGGTGGAGGACCCCGACCACACCCAAGGCATGTGCACGCAGGGACTCTCCACCCAAACTGGCTTCCCTGGCACTCTGGCTATCTCTCACCTCCAAGCATTTGCACAGGCTGTGCCCTGTGCCTGGAGCACACTCCCTCCCTCTCCCCTCCCACATGAAGGCTTTCTTAGTGCCCTCCCAACCCTGAGAAATCACCATTTACTTTGTGAACCTTTGGAATGGAAGCTCTTTGAGGACAGGGACCCTTCTCCCTCGCCCCCTCAGAAGGCACTCAATGAATCCTGCATGGCCCCACCTACCTTAAAGATCATGAGGTTGCCCACGTGGTGATTCCGGCTGCGCGCGTAACCCAAGGCCACGTCGGCATGCCTGAAGAGGTAGACGCCAAGCAGGGGATCACCCAGCGCCTTCATGGTGGACTCGCGGGTGCACAGCCCGCTCTGGTACATCCGGGACACGGCGCTGTGGGACAGCGCCAAGAAGCAGTAATGCTCCTCCAGCTCGCGGCCTCGCCGGCCGCGTTCCCGCATCTCCGTCCTAAGAAGAACCGCGGAGGGTCAGCGGGCTTGGGGCAGACGGCAATCCCTGCAGGCATCTCGGAGGGCCCCAGCCAGGCCGGGAGGCCCACCAGCCGAGGATGCCCACCACCCCCATTTCTATCACCGGACTCCTCCAGTCTTCACTCCTCATCTGTAAAACTGGGTGGTGGGCTCAACAGCCCAAGGGATGGGACCCTAGCCCCCTCAGCTCCCAGGCCTCCCCGGTCCTTTCTGGGCCCCAGAGGCGGGCAGGACCGTATCAGGTTCCCCCAGGGTCCCTGATGTCTCAGAAGGACCCAATCTGGGCCCACGGGGCAGGGCTGGGCCTCCACGGTGCCCAGGGCCTCTCCTCCACCACAACCCCACCCACATGAGGCCAGGGTCCTGGTCACCTGTGGCGGCTCTGACCATCACAGGCCTGTTGCTCACGCGGAGGGCGCTCACCTCTTGGCCGAGAACTTCCTCTCCAGGTACTCATTGTGAACCAGCTGCATCTCCCCAAACTGCCACGCTGACTGCAGCTCGCAGCTCAGGTCCAGCCGGCACTGGGCCAGGGTGTGGCTGATGGCACTATACTCCCTCCGACCGGTGTGGCAAGATGACAAGTACACTGCGGATGAAGTCGGACAGAGGGGTGAGCCAGCACCCTGGAGGCCCCCGCAAACCCCGCCCGTCACGGCCTGGCTGCCGGCCCTCCCCTCGGGGCGTCAGAGGCATCAGGTTACAACAGGACCAGGAGGCCGGAGGCAGGGTGGATGAGCCCCCGGGCGGGCCGGTACCTTTCTCCGCGGTCCTCTGGATCTTGGGGATGGTAAAGTTCTTCAGAGGGTGGCCCTTGAGGCCAGCGCTGGCCCCAGGGCCCCCAGGCTCTTGGTAGGGGGCACCACGATGGCTCATAGCCTTGCCTCGCTTGACATCCTTGGCTTCCATTCCAGTGTTGACCTGAGGGACGCAAGGATGTGAGGGGAGCCCCACGGTCCATCACCCCCCCGGAAGGTGGGGGAGGGGCTCTGAGGGCAAGCCTCATGGGACAAAACATGGCCGAGCCTGGGGGTGCGAGGGTTAAGTTCAAATCCTGCGCCAGACCCTTACCAGCTGGGTGACCCTGGGCAGGTCACTAATAACCTCTGCCTCAGCTGCCTCGTCTATAAAATGGGAATGACAAGAAGAGGATCTGCCTCATGGGGTATTTGTGAGGGTCAAGGAGGTAACACATGCAGAGCCTCGCGGACTTTGGAGATCTAGGACAGAAACCATTCGACCCGGGGCACGGGAAAGGCCGGGGGGCGGGCACTGGAGCTGACAGCCCTGGGAGGGGCGCGCTAGGGCGACCCCCACTGTACCGGTGAGGAGATGGAGGCAGACAGGGGGAAGTGACCGGCCCAGGGTCACTCAGCCTCTGAGGCAGCCCAGCACTCTGTCCGCCGTGGCGCCCGTGGCTGCCCAACACCTCCTCGCCTGGTCCCTTCAACTGACTCTTTGAAGAAACGAAATCAAGGCTCTTCCTTCTCTCACTTATCAATGGCCAGTGAGGGATGCCTGGCCTGAGGCAGCGGACAGAGCCCTGGGCCTGGAGTCAGAGGCCTGAGTTCAAATCCAGCCACGGCACTTCTGAGCCGTGAGACCCAGGGAGGGTCACGTCAGCTTCGCCCACCTCACTAGTTTCTTCATCTGTAAAATGGGCGTTCTAATAGCGCCTCCCTCGCAAGGTTCAGATCACACACACAAGGGGCCCTCTGAACATCTCAGTGTGCTCTCTAACTGCCCGAAAAGGGGCTCACCTAGGCCCAACCATGTCTCCGCTGACCAGGGGCCCTATGCAGAGGGATTCTGGCATTCCAGGACAGGGAGATGAAGGGGTCAGGCATTTCTGCCCGAGGGTGGCCTACCAAACCCCAGCAAGGAGCCAAACACCACCTCCTCCCACCTCACAATTATCAAATGCTGTAAAAGGGGAAGGGGAGACAGGTAGTGGGAAACAGAGGGGCCACCCCCCCCCAGAGACCGAACACAGCCACCCCCACCCCCCCCAGAGACCGCACCCAGCCGGCCCCCCCCCCCCAGAGAATGAACACAGCCGTCCCTACCCCCAAGAGACTGAACAGAGCTGTCCTTATCCCCGCCAAGAGACTGAACACAGCCGTCCCTACCCCCCCAAGAGACTGAACA